GGGTGGGGGTGTTATTTAAAAGATGAAATCTCATGCTACCGGCCTTGTTATATGTGTGTTAAAGGGAAGGTTCACCTCTGCGCCAACGCAGGGCTCAGACGGTGTAGCCTACTAACCAGTTCCCGGGGATTATTTCCCACCGGGAGGGGGGGGATGTATGCTGGTGTTAGCACACTGAGTCGGCTTTACATTAATGAGGAATAGATTGCTGTACAGGCGGCGTGTGACAGGCAGCTCACATGTCTTGTCTGCTGTATTATACGGATTACATGCATGGACTCCGCAGCCTGTGTGTGTGTGCCATGACTCTGTTTACATCGCGTGTGACTGTCATGTAGATATACTGGATGGTGACACTTTGTATCGCTGTGGACAGGAAGCCGGGGTTATTGTAGATGTGGGTACAGAGCTCTCCATCCACAGCGCTATACTTCATGCTACTACGGCTGGCGGGAACAAAGAGGGAGATTGTTCGGCTACTTCCCATCTCTCTCCCTCCCCTCTTCCTCTTTTCACCATTCTCATCTGTCATTCTTTTCTTTTACACATTTCCTCCATCTCTCCCTCAATCCTTTCTTTTGTCCTTCTGTTCTCTCTGACAGTTTCTCTTCTTATTCAGTGTTATGTTTTTCATCTCCTATACATTCTCTCTCTCTTCTCCTCCCCTTCTCTCTTCTCCTCTCCTCCCCTTCTCTCTTCTCCTCTCCTCCCCTTCTCTCTCCTCCTCTGCTCCCCTTCTCTTTCCTCTTTATCTCTCTCCTCTCTCTTCTATCTGCTTTCTCCCCCCTCTCCTATGTCCCTCTCCTTCTCTTCTCTCATCCCCGCTCTCTCTCTCTCTCTTCTCCTCCCCTTCCCCTTCTATTCTCTTCTCTTTTTCCTCTTTATCTCTCTCCTCTCTCTTTCTCTTCTCTCTGCTTTCTCCCCCTCTCCTATGTCCCTCTCCTTCTCTCATCACCCCCTCTCTCTTCTCTCCTTTCTCTCTCTCTTCTTCTCTCCTTTCCCTCCTTCCGCTCTCCCCTCATTCTCCTCTCTTTCCTCTCCTCCTCTTCTCTCTTCTATTCTCTTCTCTTTTTCCTCTTTATCTATCTCCTCTCTGCTTTCGCCCCCCTCTCCTATGTCCCTCTCCTTCTCTTCTCTCACCCCACCATCTCTCTCTCTCCCTCTCTTCTCTCCTTTCTCTCTCTCCCCTCTTCTCTATCTTTCCTCTCCCTCTTTCCTTTTTCTTCTCTCTCTCTCCTCTCCTCCCCCTCTCCCTTCTCTCTTCTATTCTCTTCTCTCTCCTCTCCCTTTCTCTTCTCTCTGCTTTCTCCCCCCTCTCCTATGTCCCTCTCCTTCTCTCCTCTCTTTCTCCTCTTCCCCTTTCTCTCTCCCCATCTCTCATCCCCCATCTTTCATCCATTGATGCTGGTGCCAGGTACACACTAAAGGGAACTTGCTAACCTGTATTTTAGGGTGCGTGCCCCATGGGGGTTATCCTCATAGTCACTAATCTGGGACAAGCGTGTGCATATCAAGTGTCGGGGTGACGCCTCCAGAGTTTCACCTTTACACTTCGGCAATGTGTCATATTTGCATTGTTGCGGGTTCCCTTTAGGGTTCATTGCTGGATGAATAATAACCAACCAGAGCTGAGTATTCCGGGGCTGAGATGTGGACACTGAGCTGGGACGTGATGAGGAATGGTCACACTGCATTGTATTCTGCACACATTTCATTACCTGTCAGTATTCCTGATCTGTGTGCTGATGGGATGCCTGCCAGGAGTGGCATTCTCTGTCAGTGGCACCATTATATAAGTACCTGGTTTGCAGTATTACCACCCTGAGAACAAACACTGGCGGGCTTTGATGTACAAAAACTGGGGCAGAGGATGTGCTGTCCATGTCAACCAATCAGATTCCAGCTTTTGTTTCTCCAGTGCAGAATAGGTAGTATTAGGGAGCATCTGATTGGTTGCTGTGGGGAACTTCATTGTTCTCTTCAGCTCCAGTTTTTACAGGTTTGGGCGTTTGTCTCCATAGTATCAGATGATCTGTACCTGGAATAGACCCTCTACAATGTGAATGGTGGTTGTGTTATTCTGGAAATGTAAATGCTGCTTGAACAACCAATCGTGTTTCACCCTCATTTTCCGAACCACATTGCAAGCAAAATGCTAAATGTTATTGGTTACTGTAGCCAACCTCCAGCTTTCAACCATTGGTGACTTGAATCACATGGCACGCTGAGTAAAGGGTTCTCCATGCGCCTGCACACAGGTGGGGGGCCTCAATAATGGGAATTTTGTTCTAAGCAGAGTACCTGCATGAAAAGCTGCTGATTGATGCAGCCATCCTGACTCTCAGCTAGCCTAGGAGTTTGGTGGACGCAGAGCTCTTCAGTTTTACTGGGGAAGACATGATTACTCCGGTTGTTGCAGGATCTTCGTACAATTACTTTGCTTTAGCATCCCTCCAATGGGTCTGTAGGGAGAGTGTCTGTGTTGCCCACTGCAGCCAACTGGGTTCCAGGTTTCCATTTCGTGTTTGGGAATTAAAGCATTTAGTTGCTATAGGCAACACCACGGATACATTTTTCGGTCCTCTAATGCACTTGGGTAGGTAATGCTCGATACCACGAGGTGGACAAGTTAAACATGGGTGGGGGTATCGTTTTTTACTGACCTCTTTGCAGGTACCCAGCCAAAGGGACGGATTCGAGGTTCCATACCAAATGTTTGTTATGATGAATGTCTTCGCAATGACGACTATTTATAGAGTTCCTGCTGTCTGTTATAAACATAAACATGTAATATATACTATAGGAGCAAAAGTATGAGGAGCAAATGATGGAGAGTACATACAGAGACATTGTAGACAATTGAGGTCCTCCATCCTTGAGGTCCCAGTTTGGTGAAGACCCTTTTCTGTTCCACCATGACCGTCCCCTGTGTACGAGCTCCATAAAGACATGGTGTGACCAGTATGGTGTGGAGGAACTTGAGTGTCCTCCACAGAGTCCTGACCTCCACCCTACTGAACACCTTTAGGGTGAATTGTAATGCCAACTGAGAGCCAGGTCTTCTCATCCAACAACAGCACCCGACCTCACAAATGGGAACAAGTACGAGGACCCCCCTTTTGATTGACCGTCCCCTGTGTACAAAGCCAGCTCCATAAAGACATGGTGTGACCAGTTTGGTGGAGGAACTCAAGTGCCCTGCACAGAGCCCCGACCTCAACCCTACTGAACACCTTTGGGATGAATTTAAAGTCTGGTCTTCTCATCCAACATCAGCACCCGACCTCACAAATGTTGTCTGAGTGGCCACAAATTCCAAAGGACACACATCTTGTGGAAAGCTTTTCCAGAAGTGTGGAGGCTGCTGTAGCCAACTCTATAATTATGCTCATGGTTCTGAAATGGGATGTCCATTAACTTCCTGTCAGTGAACAGTGCACATATTTGATGACCCGGCTGCCAATGTTTTCTTCATACTGAGGAAATAATGATTTCTGATCACATCAGTTGCATATTAATTCAAGGCATCCAATGATGAGTCCACTATATACAGGTGGAGAGACCATTTCTGGTAGGAAAGCGTCCATCCGCCATTTCACATCATGAGCACTGCTGATCGTTAGACGTTGGCTTTTCACCGCACAGTTTGTGGAAATGGCGTCCCTGAGTGAGGTCCGAGCTGGATCTTCCAACTCTCTATGGAGAAAAGGAACCATTTTTAGCATCTCCCATCTGATACATCAGAGAGGTCATCCCAGTGGGGTGCTCTGATTGAGTATGTACAGATGTTTCTCTGCCCGGTGCTCTTGGTGAGTCTGTGGTTAGCCACTGCACCCAATCAGATTCCAGCTGTCATTCTACATTATGGGATGGGCTGTTAGGTACAGCAATGGCGGCTTGCTTTGTTCCAGGTCATTCCTTCAGGACTCAGATATCACATCTAGTTCAGTATTTGCCATAGCTGCATAGAATAGCGAGATCTGGCATCTCATTGGCTTTACCGGGCAGCCAATCATCGACTTCCAATTTTTCTCGATTCCATTTGGCCATATCACTGCTGTAGCAGGGCATGCTGGGAGATAGAGGCAGCGATGTGTTGGGTCTGTAGGCTTCATGTCTCTTTCTGTTCCTCTAATGAACACATTGAGGCAAAACTCAATGTAAATCATTGACTGTCGCAGTCATTGATCATTATCCCGCCATTGCGGCAGAAACATGGATTCTGTCTGGTTTTTTACATATGATGAGACATCTTTTTCTCCCCCGCACAGTCTACATGGATCTGTGAGTCACTTGTGTGGGTGGAGACTACAGAGACCTCACATGAGAGTTGAACACGTTAATCTACCTACGATAGGAATTCTTAGCATCTGGCATAAGCATCCCTCGTGGTCAGATCACCTCGCTGGGTGGACTTAGGTGAAAGCACGAAGCAGGTCAATTTTATTTTTCATTCCACGTAGTGCACACGGCACGTTGGGGGATGACATATGTAGCAGTAGATCTGTGGTAAGTCTATGATATGATTGCCTTCCTAGGGGCCATAAGACGCAGTCGCCATTATTTCATTCATGAGAAGAATTAAGTGGAGGGAAATATTGTGTCAGGCCTGGAAGTGGAGGGAAATATTGTGTCAGGCCACTCTTTTCTTCCATTTCCACCAAAGACGTGTATACAAAATGTTAGATTCTGGGTTAGGATGGTTCTGATGGTGGTTGGATATTTCCCACTGCCCGCCATATTACAGAGATGATTATTTTGATATGCTGGTTGTGAAGAAGCTTCCAATTTATGGTAATATTTCAGGTAGAGAGCACTCCGTCATGTCTAAAGTCACCCGGTAGAAACACAAGTTCTCCATCTCTGGTCAGGAGGATCATAGCCAATATGGTGTACTCCTTGGGTGGTGTTATACTTCCGAAAAGGCTTTATTTTGGCCTGCATGTTCCCTGTGATAAGAGCTGGGATACATTTTCTGGAGATGTTCCACGTCCTCTCCGTCTTCTGCTTCATGCTTACCCTACAGACAGACATTGGGGCTATTCCAGCCTTTGTAAGAACTGAAGACTTGTCCATGTTGGCTTTGATTGGCAATAATATTCCACATTGGGAACCTAAACCCGGGTCTGTCTGATTTGTATCTACTTTCTATAGCGAGAACAGCCGTACCCAGCAGACTGATCATGACGGAACAATTGGTTGGTCAGGTTCGAAATTCTTGCCTGATTCCCACCATTTTACCCCATTGATAAGTTGTCCTTCTCAGTCCTTCCTTCCTGCTCCCTCCACATAAACGTGCACTTGGTGGACCCCAACATTCATGTTTATGGGTAACATTTCAGAAAAAGACCTTCTGATAATGGCATTCATATTCACTGTCATTGGAAAAGGAGCCAAAGATGGTGGTCTTAGCCAGGATTATTTCTGACCAAATTAGCCAACCCAGTTGAGGTATCTTCTCCTCCTCCGGAGTTTGGTATCCCAATTGCCAATCTCCGCAAGATTGGCAATGGGGATATGGAGATCCCCACCTTCAGATTTAGAGGTACACTTTGGTTGAAAGTGAAAGTTACACCATGAGATGCCTACGGGGAGCACCATCTGGATATTAGATATTACTGTAGTGGGCCACACATCTCCTGGAGCCTCCTTCTGGCCTCTGACATACCGCAAACCCAATTAAAAAAAAATATCCATACAGAGAGGTTCCTCACAGACGCCTGTCCCATTCAACCCTTCTTTGGAAGTTTAGCATTACAGGAAGCAGAGGGATAGAGAGGAAGTTGCAAAGCACAGGCTGTAGGAAATACACTCCCAGGGGCTCTGTGGGTAGATAACGAAAAATTGTTTACTTACCTATCGGTAATTTTCCTTTCCTGACGCCAATACATGGCAGCATACAATGGGGGCGGAGCTATATCCATTGTATGCTGCTATGTAGGTGTCAGGAAAACGGAAAATCGAATACTTACCTATCAGTAATTTTCCTTTCCTGACGCTAATACATGACAGCATACAATGGGTATGGCTCCGCCCCCATTGTATGCTGCCATGTAGGTGTCAGGAAATCTAGATTCTGGCTGCAGTGGATAACACAGATCTCTGATTAGTGTGAATGGATCAGACTTTTATTGTTTGATGGATATCATCAATAGCTCATTGATTTCCTTCACCTCCAGCTACACGATGGGACGGCTCCGAGGGGTTTTTGTTTTTTTTTATTTTTGAGGAATATTTCCTGTCTGATTTATTTCCCATCTGAATCAAAAGGCCTGCTCTTCGGGGGCGGGCCAGAAATGCTGTATTGTACATACTACCGATGACGATATTATTAATATTATGTTTCCGTGTGCGTGGTGCATGCAAGACTTTGATGTTCTTACGTTATGGGTTTCGTTTTTTTTCCTCTCACTTTGTAAATTATTTAATTTATAAGGAAACAAAAATGGTTCACAATTGATAAAAAAAAACAAAGTTTCCTCTGTGCAGACGGCAGGAAACACGTCTTGGGACGGACTTTGTTCATCTCAATTTTTTTTTTTTCGTTTGTAAGGACTTTTTTTTTTTCTTATGTGCTGACACTGGAGCATCTCTGCCGGAGGCGTCGGCCACGTCGCAGTCCTCGGACCCTCCTACTTGCGTTTTCCGGCACAAGTCTGAAAAGTGACTGATGGATTTTTGCCGTTGATTGTTAAAAAAAACAACAACAAAAAGAACAAAAAAACAAAACAACACACAGTCGGTCTCGCCTTTGTTCTGTCGCTGTGGTTTTATGGTTTTCATGGGCAACACTCGGAAAAAATGGGACGAGCCCCTTTGGCTTTGGGATATGGCCGTTTAAGAGTCACCTCAGGAAGCAAATCAAGAAGACGGCATGGCCGCCTGTGTGCGACGTGCTTGTGTTGATGTCAGGAGGATGGCAGGGAAGTGGAAACGATGTTACCGATGTGTTGTTTGAATATTTTTGGGGAAGTAAGGTGTTTTTAGGTCCGTCGTGTCTTGGCTGTGCGGGATGTCTGGGTCATGGGTAGATGCAGGTCCTCCCCACCACAGATGGGGAAATGTTTGTCCTCCTAATAATGGGACATCCACAGTGGCACTTTTCATGAAAATAAAAGTGAATAAAAATGGATCCTTGTCTCTCTCGTTATTTCACTGACCTGGCCCTGTCCTGGCATCGGTCACGTGGTGTTGGGTTGAAGGATCTCAGGATGATCCATCTCCTGACGTCTGTCCTCCATTGGACTACAGATTCCACGGATCACAGTAAAGAGTTCACATTTTCACTATTTTACAGTTTTATTACACTTTCTTTTTTTCATATACTATATACCCAAAATTGTGCGGTCACCTGACCATCACACCGACTATATGGCCAAAAGTACATGGATCCCCCTCCAAATAATTAACCTCAGGTGTTCTCAGTGAGGTGAAAGTTCAGTAAAGCTGAAGTTCTGTTAATACAAAGACATTGCAGACAATTGTGTTCTTCCAGCCTTGTGGTCACAGTTTGGTGAAGACCCTTTTCTGTTCCACCATCACTGTCCCCCGTGTACAAAGCCGGCTCCATATAGACATGGGGTGACCAGCTTGGTGGAGGAACTCGAGTGTCCTACACAGAGCCCTGACCTCAACCCTACTGAACACCTTTGGGATGAACTGGAACGCAGATTGTGAGTCGGGTCTTCCAACATCAGTACCTGACCTCACAAATGGGCACGAGTACGTGGGCCCCCCTTTTCTGTCGTGGCATGACTGCCCCCTGTGTACAAAGCCAACTCCATGCATACAAGGTCTGGCTAGTTTGACTTGTTCTGGTGACAATTAAGAGATGATTTCCCCTCACTTTGGAAGGTTCTACTTTCACTTCATGGTGTGTATTCGGAACAGGAAGTGAAGGGAAATCCCCCCTACTGCCGCCACCCAGCATAGTTCACTAAAAATATTTTGTTCTGGAACTTAAACACTATCTGGCCAAATGTTATGGACTTCTGAAAATCCCACCAATATGGGTTTGTTGGACATCCCATTAGAAAGCCATGGCCATTAATATGGAGTTGCCCACATCCCCTCATGGCCATTAATATTGAGTTGCCCCCATCCCCCCCCCCATGACCATTAATATGGAGTTGCACTACTGAACACCTTTGGGATGAACTGGAACGCAGATTGTGAGTCGGGTCTTCCAACATCAGTACCTGACCTCACAAATGGGCACGAGTACGTGGGCCCCCCTTTTCTGTCGTGGCATGACTGCCCCCTGTGTACAAAGCCAACTCCATGCATACAAGGTCTGGCTAGTTTGACTTGTTCTGGTGACAATTAAGAGATGATTTCCCCTCACTTTGGAAGGTTCTACTTTCACTTCATGGTGTGTATTCGGAACAGGAAGTGAAGGGAAATCCCCCCTACTGCCGCCACCCAGCATAGTTCACTAAAAATATTTTGTTCTGGAACTTAAACACTATCTGGCCAAATGTTATGGACTTCTGAAAATCCCACCAATATGGGTTTGTTGGACATCCCATTAGAAAGCCATGGCCATTAATATGGAGTTGCCCACATCCCCCCGTGGCCATTAATATGGAATTGTACCCCCTTTACAACAGTAACATCCTCCTACCCTATGGGAGGGTGTCTGTGGGAATCTGTGCCCATTTGTGAGGTCAAGGACTCATGTTGGATGAGAAGATCTGGCGCGCAATCGGCATTGCCATTCATCTCAGAGGTATTTATTAGGGATGAGGTCAGGTACTGATGCTGGATGAAAAGATCTTGCATTGAGCACTCCAATCATCCCAGTGGTGTTCAGTAGGTTTGAGGTCAGGGCTCTATGGAGGACACTGGAGTTCCTCCACCAAACCGGTCACACCATGTCTTTATGGAGATGGCTTTGTACACAGGGGACATGCTGGAGCAAAGGAACAGAGAAGGGCCTTTTGGGCCATACATGCTTCTGGCCATACACTGTATATATATATATATATACACACATAGAAAAGACTCTGTAACTATAGAGGTCATAGTGAGAAGGGACTAAAGGAATCTAAAAGTACACATGTGCACTGCCAAAAAATTTGTTTCGTTTCGTTTTAAATTCGGATTTGTGTTATTTCGTTTTTCAGGATTCGGGTGTGAAAGTCAATTCGGATTCGGAATTCGGATTCGGACGAAATTCGGTAGCGTTAGTACGAACGTTCGTTTCGTTTTCTGTTCTTATTCGTTTCGTCCGTTTGCAGCAAAAGTGACATTTGAGGGGGAAAAAATATTTTTCTCCTTCTCTAATGTCACTTTGCTCCAACGAACGAAACGAATAAGAACAGAAAACGAAACGAACGTTCGTACTAACGCTACCGAATTTCGGAAATGGAAATTCGGATTCGTTTGCATTTGTTATGTCTGTAATTCGGAATTTGGATACATCCGAATGTCCGAATTTACGAAAATTCGTCCGAATTTTGATTCGGAACGAAACGAATCGCACATGTCTATCTAAAAGCCCTCCAACTGAATCAGTTCAGTGCACAGTGAAACCTTCATAGAAGAGAAGGTGATCACAGGTCTCATTCCATCACATATCCCAAAAGTAAGGACAGTGGGTGGAGCCATGCAGATCACTCCTTCACACCCCATTGGCCAGATCCAGAACCGTTGGTGTATAGAGCAAATATAGTCTAATATTATAGAGACATTTATACCAAACTGCACACAGCTGTCTCGGGCTTTTAGACCATCATCAGTGCAGTGTATGGAAACCATGACGTCTATGGAGGAGGACTTGGGACCCAATGAGATCAATCTAAATGGGTTCCATGCCTTAGGTCTCGTTCACACCTAGGCGTATTGCATATGCGCGACCGTCGCGCGTTTCCGAAGGCTACTTGGCTGTATCCCAATGGAAACGCGCAACAAAACGGCCCAAAGTAGTACCTGAACCTTTTCAGTCGTGGGCCGTTTTGTAGCGCGTTAGGGACGGGCGGAAATACGCCAATGTGGGAACGAGACCATTGAATACATGGGGGGCGGGCTTTTCGATGATCGCAAGTACGATCTGCCTGTCCAAGATGGGCAGATGGAACGTTTTTTTAATTACCTTACAACCCTCGCACAACAAAAGTCTTGCGAGGGTTGTAAGGTGTGCGGCCAGCTTTACTACATAGAAGCCATGGTTCTGAGAAGGCCTTACTGTGACACACACACACACACATTGATGACTCTACGTTGTGTCGATGACTTTTGGTGGAACGTTCACACAATTCCGCCGAGAGCGGCGAGAAGTTTCACGCTTCCAGTTTAATAACATTATTTTGTTAGGAATGAATCTTGCCGGGTCCGCGGTGGGCGGGACCGTCTCTCAGTTCTTGGGCCAGTGTAGCACCAGGCCATTGCGCCCTTTGCAGAAGTCCGGTTTGGTTATATCGCTCCGGGTCTCCACGGACACCAGCCTCCGCCTTCCGCGCATATTCATCTGGATGCAGTCCGTCACCTTCACCGTGAGCTCCCATCTTTGCCTGAAACAGAGGTGAGAGGTGAATGATTGTGAGGACATACAAAGCTCGGGGGAGTAGCTTAGCCCATGCTGGCCTTCAAAGAGAACTATGAGGTCAGTGCTTTCCCCCATAGTTCTCCTAAGGGTCGGGGGAGGACACAAACTAGCGTCCTCCCGTCACCCTAAGCTCAGTATATAGGGAGCTACAGCTCGCGGTATACTGAGACCGCCGCAGCCCGGACGGATCCCGACATTACTGTGGAGATCCACCCAGCTGCGTGAGTGGCAGCTGGCTCTGCCTATCTAGAGGCAGAGCCAGCAGTACCCGCCCCCTCCCCCGTCCGTTCCTCCAGTCAGCGCTGGAGGATCGGACAAGGGAGGGGGGAATCCCTGCAGGGAGAGGTGAGTGACAGTCACCGCTCTCTGCAGGGAGATGATCGAGAAATGAGCGAGCGCCGGTATGTGTTCTCTCACTTCCCGATCTACTGAGCAGACCTGTGACAGTCTCATTGTCACAGGTCGGCTAGAACTATGAGGAGGAGTGAAAATCACCCCCCTCATAGTTCTTTTTTAAGGGCTCATTCACACGCGTGTGCACATCTGTCAGTGTGCGTCCAAGTGTGGGCAACCGGACCTGCACGCATGTGTTGGTTGGGGTCTGTGTGTAACTGCGTGCAGCTGCTTCCTCCCGTAGGGAGCCACAGGCAGCTGCACGCAATCACACGCAGCACCTGTGCCTCCCGGTGAGTAGGTCACTGCAGGGGAGTGCATGCCGTGTGAATGAGCCCTAATGAGTGAATGAGCAGGTGAATGATGGGCAGATATAAAAGCTGCAAACGAATGGAGCTCCATATTCATTAAATGTAAGTAGTGTAAGTACCAGAGTGTGACCTGGAATCAGCCATCCCCCGTACAGCAGAGCTCAGAGAGGGGGAGGAAGAAGCAGCACAAGAAACCAATCAGCAAGAGCAGAGGGACTACCCCACGCATGTCCAGCTCATCACTAGTCCCATGCTGGGAGCTCAGATAGTACAGAGTTAGGGAGCGCTCTTTGCAGAGACGCAGCCACGTGGATTTACACTGTTCACAACCTCGATGTGGAAATAGTTCATTTGGATTTTTTTGGGGCTGAATAGCTGGAAATGTTTAGATCATCCTTAGGTTGTGTGGCACCTCAATTCCCCTCCTTCTGGTGACCCGTCCATACAGGGGCACGGGGCCGGGAGACACCCGGAGCGGAGATCGGGTGACACCCCGCAGTGATGTCATCGCCATCTAATTGACGCCTGCCGGCGGCCATCTTGGTGATGGATCGGCAGGGAGAGGACGGGACGTTCACCCGGCGGGATGAGGTATGCCGCCGGGTCCCCTCCTCTCCAGACACTGTCCGTGACCGAGTGCCCGACATTAGAGTGTCAGCTCCTCTGTACAGAGACTGATGGGACTGTGGGGGGAGGGGACATTAGAGTGTAAGCTCCTCTGTACAAAGATTGATGTGACTGTGGGGGAGGGGACATTAGAGTGTAAGCTCCTCTGTACAAAGATTGATGTGACTGTGGGGGAGGGGACATTAGAGTGTAAGCTCCTCTGTACAAAGATTGATGTGACTGTGGGGGAGGGGACATTAGAGTGTAAGCTCCTCTGTACAAAGATTGATGTGACTGTGGGGGAGGGGACATTAGAGTGTAAGCTCCTCTGTACAAAGATTGATGTGACTGTGGGGGAGGGGACATTAGAGTGTAAGCTCCTCTGTACAAAGATTGATGTGACTGTGGGGGAGGGGACATTAGAGTGTAAGCTCCTCTGTACAAAGATTGATGTGACTGTGGGGGAGGGGACATTAGAGTGTAAGCTCCTCTGTACAAAGATTGATGTGACTGTGGGGGAGGGGACATTAGAGTGTAAGCTCCTCTGTACAAAGATTGATGTGACTGTGGGGGAGGGGACATTAGAGTGTAAGCTCCTCTGTACAAAGATTGATGTGACTGTGGGGGAGGGGACATTAGAGTGTAAGCTCCTCTGTACAAAGATTGATGTGACTGTGGGGGAGGGGACATTAGAGTGTAAGCTCCTCTGTACAAAGATTGATGTGACTGTGGGGGAGGGGACATTAGAGTGTAAGCTCCTCTGTACAAAGATTGATGTGACTGTGGGGGAGGGGACATTAGAGTGTAAGCTCCTCTGTACAAAGATTGATGTGACTGTGGGGGAGGGGACATTAGAGTGTAAGCTCCTCTGTACAAAGATTGATGTGACTGTGGGGGAGGGGACATTAGAGTGTAAGCTCCTCTGTACAAAGATTGATGTGACTGTGGGGGAGGGGACATTAGAGTGTAAGCTCCTCTGTACAAAGATTGATGTGACTGTGGGGGAGGGGACATTAGAGTGTAAGCTCCTCTGTACAAAGATTGATGTGACTGTGGGGGAGGGGACATTAGAGTGTAAGCTCCTCTGTACAAAGATTGATGTGACTGTGGGGGAGGGGACATTAGAGTGTAAGCTCCTCTGTACAAAGATTGATGTGACTGTGGGGGAGGGGACATTAGAGTGTAAGCTCCTCTGTACAAAGATTGATGTGACTGTGGGGGAGGGGACATTAGAGTGTAAGCTCCTCTGTACAAAGATTGATGTGACTGTGGGGGAGGGGACATTAGAGTGTAAGCTCCTCTGTACAAAGATTGATGTGACTGTGGGGGAGGGGACATTAGAGTGTAAGCTCCTCTGTACAAAGATTGATGTGACTGTGGGGGAGGGGACATTAGAGTGTAAGCTCCTCTGTACAAAGATTGATGTGACTGTGGGGGAGGGGACATTAGAGTGTAAGCTCCTCTGTACAAAGATTGATGTGACTGTGGGGGAGGGGACATTAGAGTGTAAGCTCCTCTGTACAAAGATTGATGTGACTGTGGGGGAGGGGACATTAGAGTGTAAGCTCCTCTGTACAAAGATTGATGTGACTGTGGGGGAGGGGACATTAGAGTGTAAGCTCCTCTGTACAAAGATTGATGTGACTGTGGGGGAGGGGACATTAGAGTGTAAGCTCCTCTGTACAAAGATTGATGTGACTGTGGGGGAGGGGACATTAGAGTGTAAGCTCCTCTGTACAAAGATTGATGTGACTGTGGGGGAGGGGACATTAGAGTGTAAGCTCCTCTGTACAAAGATTGATGTGACTGTGGGGGAGGGGACATTAGAGTGTAAGCTCCTCTGTACAAAGATTGATGTGACTGTGGGGGAGGGGACATTAGAGTGTAAGCTCCTCTGTACAAAGATTGATGTGACTGTGGGGGAGGGGACATTAGAGTGTAAGCTCCTCTGTACAAAGATTGATGTGACTGTGGGGGAGGGGACATTAGAGTGTAAGCTCCTCTGTACAAAGATTGATGTGACTGTGGGGGAGGGGACATTAGAGTGTAAGCTCCTCTGTACAAAGATTGATGTGACTGTGGGGGAGGGGACATTAGAGTGTAAGCTCCTCTGTACAAAGATTGATGTGACTGTGGGGGAGGGGACATTAGAGTGTAAGCTCCTCTGTACAAAGATTGATGTGACTGTGGGGGGAGGGGGCATTAGAGTGTAAGCTCCTCTGTACAGAGACTGATGCCATGTGTTTTATTCCCTCTCCCCCTCCTAGCTGGGTATCAGATGCGCATTATGAGTTCAGTGGGTGTCCGCGGCGGGGGATCAGCGCTCACACCTCATTGTCCCTCTATGACCTCTGACCTCCCCCTGGTGTCCTGTCACCTCCTCTCTGACCCCGGAGGTCATAGGATCACAGAGAACTCCGCTGGCCAGCTGTCTGGGGCTCTCCGGCCATTGTACAGATATATCATTTGTCGCTTTGTATCACTCTAAAGAGGACCTGTCATTTCAAAAGCCATCTGCAGGTGCAGCACAATTGGAGAACATTCGATTTGTAGCACCATGCATGTGTGGAATGTTCGGTGTTTTGTAGCATTAGGCGGGTGCGTTGTCATGTGACAGCGTGCGTTTCCTGCATTACTGACGCACATTTCTAATGTATTTTTAACTTAAAAAAAAGAAAAATATTTCAAAATGTAATTTTTTGAGTTCTGATCATTTTAAAGAAAAGACGTAGAAATCGGATGAACTTTGTACTTTGTCTGTAAAGACGGAGCAGCCGACACACATAGATGAAGCAGAGGGACCGCCGGAGCTGTGGGGGGTGATGACATCACAGAGATATAGGAGGACAAGACCCCTCTGTTCCCTCCGACAGACATCGATGACATCACATCCTGCCACTCCAGGGACGGGGATCCTGAACATGAATGGGAAGCACAATGGAGGCCGAGTGATGGAACAGAGAGGCAGCTGAAGCCATCCCACAGACATGACCGGACTGAGGATTCTGATACTGACAAGTCCGATCTCTGGGGAACCCCCCCGAGCCTTCCGGATGAGGCAGCCGAGAGGAGAGCTACATCTACAGCGCCACTCCACCCAAAGCTGATATTTCAGTATTATGAGGGACCCCCCCCCATCCCTGTGCTGAGTTCCCGGGTCTGTACACCCGCTGTGCCCATTATGAGGGGCCCCCACCATCCCTGTGCTGAGTTCCCGGGTCTGTACACCCGCTGTGCCCATTATGAGGGGCTCCCACCACCCCTGTGCTGAGTTCCCGGGTCTGTACACCCGCTGTGCCCATTATGAGGGGCCCCCACCATCCCTGTGCTGAGTTCCCGGGTCTGTACACCTGCTGTGCCCATTATGAGGAGCTCCCACCATCCCTGTGATGAGTGCCCGGGTAGGCCCACTGCAAGGGTTAATTTGTATTCTGCGCGGAGTTCCTCTTCAGTTCTGGACTCAAATGGGTTAAATATTTGTAGTACAACATACGTCTTAAAGCTGATGGGGTGGGGGAGGGGCTCTGGGAGATGGTTGCAGCCTAATTATTGATTATTACCAATAGCCAATATCACTTCCTCTCTGGTTATCGGTGCGTCCCTCTCCCGTATCCGGCGTCAGAGGGGTTAAGCGGGAAGCGAATATAATAGGACG